TCAAAAAAAAAAAGTTTCTCCTTAATCTTCTTAAATTTATTTTTCTTCTCGTGCGGTTCGTGACTAACCGATCTTGTTACGGTTGCAGTTGATGATGGCTCGTTAGTTCCATCGTACTCCGACTATATATCAAACACATCATATATATCAAAAACAAACTTGTTATTAGAAAAAGTGATACTTGTTGAATTTTAGATGATATATCTAAAAGTTAATACAACTTTTCATGAGTTTTAAGGTTATACCGAGCGAATATCATGGTCTTGAAGAGGGTTGTGAGAGACGGAGATAGGTTGTGCATGGTGAGGAGTATCGGTGGTGGTGATTGGAGCAGTGATTGGGTGTGGACCGGTGTAGCTACTCTCCTTGAGGTGAGGAACGGTGGTTGCGACACCTGTCAGGTGCATGGCGTTACCAAACTCGTCCATGAGCTGAGCTGGCTTGCCGTCTTGGTCCGTGAGATAGATCGGGTTTCCTCTTTCGTCTTTCAGATCCGCCATTGTAGTCACAACTCTGTACCAAAGGTTGCTACGTACATAACACATGCGTTTGAATGGAACATTATTCTTGTATGCATTCATGTGTGCATGGTCATAACACGTGGCGCAATATACGAATGAAGGTACGTAGTGTTTTGCCTCGTAAGCGTATATGCGTGTTCTTCTTATACGAGTCTACTGATAATCGTCCAATGACACACCCCTTAAATTTTATTTTCTCACAGAATACATAAATATTTCGGTTGGTGTTAGAAAAATAAAGTCTTGATGTATCTAACCATAACTCAAGCTTCTGTGTTCGGTTAATATTTTCACAAATGCTCGTTAATCAATTGTCCATATATTATGATAACCAACGACAAATAAAAAGGAGAAACAAATCAATATATACAGAAACATTTGATTAATACAAACTACTCCCAATCGGCTGCCTTCAGAGTCCAATTCTGATCTATGCACAGCCAGAATAATTTATAGCTAACGATCCAATGTTGTTTTTATCCCCAACCTTGTGTTCTAAATTTTGTAACTTTACATGTGTGGAAATTTGGTAAATCATTAACAAACAAAAAACCCAATGGATAAGACAAATATTGTTGAGCTTTTATCAGGAAACTATTGTGTATCAGCAAATAGCCAGTCTTCATTGAATGGTACCGTGTGTGTCGACTTCTATGCGTCAGAGCAACGCAGAATCTGAAACAAAAACCACAATTAATCTCTGTCTTGTTATAACACTGAAATCAGTCTTGAGCTATAGAGAGAGTGAGAGTGAGGCTTACAAGTTCATATTTTGCTGGATTTGGTCCAGAAGAAGCCTTTCTTTTTTACAGGAAGATTCTCCTTAGTGGATTTACTGTTACTTCTGGACCCGAAAGAGAAATGTCGAGCCAAGAAAGGCTTTGCGGAATGGCTTTTGGCGCTCGAACTCGAGCTAAGTTTAGGGCTCTTGCCTGCTGCTGCTGTTGCCCTGTGGCTGTGATCAAACATTACAAATTCATCGCAATCAAAATCACTGTCCAAAACTCGGTTTCTGAGTCTTTTGTTGTGTCTAGCTTTCAAATCCATCTCTAATTTCAACGCTTTCTCTGACAGCTTCGCTGTTTTCTTCTCACCCAATGTACAGATTGGGCATGAAGGGTCAAATTTATCGACCTCCAGCGTCATCTGCTCTAAACACTCACCATGATAGACATGCCCACAAGCCAGAATTGCAGACACAGAGAGCTCGTTGGTCATAAAGATCTTTTGGCTGCTCCACAAGGATCTCTCTGACAAGGGTCTAGAGCAAGCACCACAGGTTAGCTGCTGATGATTGGACATTCGGTTCCCACGACGGTCTATCTTGTCACGATGAAGCCCAAAACACTCATTATCATAAGACAAAGGCTCTTCGCCGCGAGAAGAGGACATCATATCAGAAAAGGCTTGCAGTGACCAACTTTCAGATGGTCCACTCTGAGAAGAATCATATCTCAGAGGAGTTCCCTGCCTCTCTTCAGTTGCTGAGCTTCTATTTAGTGAGTTCACTCCATACGTTTGCCCATCTGAAACTTGCTTTGATAGACAAGGGCGCTGTGTCGGTTTAACTGTCGATGAACTTGCAGGGTGCAAGTAGCTCTGGGACGATAGTGGTGACGTTGAGAAAGATGATGGTTGAGAAGCCAGTGAAAGGGACAATTGTGCAGGAGACGGATATGATGGTGCTGCAGACTCAGCTAAATCATGTTCTTTCTGTACGATATATAAAAATGTGAAAGAGAGGTTACAAATAAACAAAGGAAAAATTTCAGAGATGCGGTCAGCTACTGGTGAAAACGCTTTACCTGCTCAAAGACTGTATCCATTGAAGAATTTCTCGGAAAAGATAGATCTGCCACAATATTCATGAACATCATAATTAGTCATGATCAAGAGTCAAGACAGTTGGTGAAACAAGCCAATAAACAAACAGACAATCCCTATCTATAAATATAGCTACGCCTTTTTGCTCGTCAAGACTCAGGAGACGTAAAAATAATTCACTAAAAAAACGTCCCAAGTGAGTAACACCAAGTTAGAAGTGTTTCCCCAAGTCCAAGATCCAAGAAAATACTAACCAAGCTGAAACAATTTACCTGAAGCTGGAGACTTCTGGAATGTATGTGTCCGAAAACTATCCAAAGGGGACCCGTCAGATGATACGAATGCAGATTCAGATTTGATCTCAGACCCGTCGTTCCGACTAATCCCATCAGATAACCAACTGAGAGAGGTCTCTTCACCAGCTACTCGTCCTCTATTATCCCACCGAAAACTCCAAGATGGAGAATGCCTAAGATTACTCCTCGGCAAATTCTCAGTAACTGATGAATTAGGCACAACCATTTTGTCCCGAGCAGCAACACAACACGCATTCCCCATAGCTGAAACGTGTGAACTCGCAAGTCGCAACTACTAAGCACTATGCAAAGGCAGTGCTTAATATCTTTGGGTGAATGAAACCTCAGTAGAACACAACAAAACACTCCCTTTCTCGCTACAACCTTAAACAAAAAGATAAACAACCCGAAATCAATTTAAGAAACTAAGATTCAGGAATTCAAGCAGCTCAAGATAAAGAAATTCAATCATCAAAGAGCCATAGAAGCCCGAATACAACTCCAGTTTGCATCACTTACAAGCACAATAAGCAAATCCCTATGGATAAGATCTCTGGGAGCTTACTAGTCATCGATCAAATAACAAAGCAACAATTCAAAGAATCTCAATAAGGAAAAGGAATCATGATGCTCTATATACTGCCCACAAGTTTCTAGATCACTGAAACTGCCATGACTATCTTCACTAAGAAAAATTCGAAGGAAATTCAGAGAAAACACAAATAACTTGTAGTAATCAAATTGAACATAATTAGCATCAAACAGATCCGAAATTAAGGCAAAAAAAATCTGCAAGCCATGTTGGGATG